AACCTGATAACTTTATAAGTTTTTAATAAATGTTTTAATTCTACAAGAATACATGATTGAGAAAACAGCATTAAAAATATTATCGTAGTTAAGAAAAAAATTACCATTTGGATAAAATTTTATTAAAAATATAGTTTTTCATAAGGAAGCAAATTATAACTCCTCTTTATTTATAGAAATTTCAGTTATTGAAGATTCACAAATTGTATTATCTCCTTATCCAATCCCCAGTTCCGGTGAGGCGTTTACTTTGCATGATGAGGAATTTAATTAAATACGAATTATATGATAACTTTTGAAGGAAATAAATTATGATTATGAGGTTATTCAAATATTTCCAAAATTTATTAAAAACTTAATTATAATGTAGTAATAAAATGACCATTTGACTAAAATTAAAAATATCATAAGTAAACAAATTATACTCTTTATTTATAGCAAATCTCCATTATTGAAGATTCACAAATTGTATTATCTCCTCATCCAATCCCCAGTTCCAGTGAGGCTCTTACTTTGCATGAGGTATTTAATTTAAATAAAATTTATATAATAACTTTTGAAGGGAATAAATTATGAGGATATTCAAGTCTTATTCAGCTATACAAAAAGAAGGAACCAAATGACCCATTTCACTTCATATTATTTAGGATGACAAATATTTTGATTAATTTCATAATTGCTGTAGGCCCATGTCAGCCATGTATAAATAAATTTCAATATCCTGTTACTCACAAGAGGTTTAATATATAATTTTCATTAATTATTACCCATCCATTATTTCTTAACCAGTATTTATTTTTTTTACTTTTTAAACAGGAGCATGAATATAACCTATTATAGAAAGGTTAATATAGATGGTTCCCTCAACCCCAGAAATTGGCTATCTTATAGCACTACTTTAGACAAAGTCTTTTGTCTATATTGTATTATGTTTGGTGGCCCTAAGTCCTATACTTTTTGGACTCAACTTGGAGTAGATAATTGGAAAAACATTAAGCGTGACTTAGAGAGACACGAAACATCTTCTCTTCATAAAGATTATGAATATGCAAACATGACTTGGTTTGCAAATAAGCGCATTCAAGATCATTTTCTATCAAATAAGCTTGATATAATCATGGGAAATCGTAATGTAGTTCATAATAGTATCGATGCCATTATGTACCTTATAAAATTTAATATAGCCTTTTGGGGTTCTAATTCAAATGAAGGTAATTTTATGTGCCTCATAAAATTAATGGCAAAAACGGTTCCAACTTTACGTGCATACATGGATAACAACGTAAAATTGCGGAGAAAAAAATCAGATAAAATTTCGAGCCCTTATATAAATTTTCTGTCATATGGTGTGAAAAAAATAACTGAAATTATTAAAATAAAAATACAAAAAGCATTATTCAAAAAATTAAAGAGAATCGTGCCTATAGCATCATATTAGATGGAACATATGATGTGTCTAAAAAAGAATGCATAGCTTTGCTTGTACGGTATATAGAAGATGATCTGCATCCACATCCTGTAGAAAAAATCATACATGTTTTTACAACATCAGAAACCAGTGGGGAAAATATAAAGAAACAAGTTTTTTCTAAGTTTAATGATCTTGGTCTTCCTCTTGATTATTTGGTTGGGCAAAGTATGGATGGTGTAGGGAATATGAGAGGAGTATACAAAGGAATGCAGGCTTTAATATTGAAAGAGGCTCCAAAAGCCATCTATATTTGGTGCCATGCACATCGGCTAAATTTCGTAGTTGCTCATGTTTGTGGATGCAAAAGAAATGAAAAAGGCAATGGGAATATTAGATGAGTTATATAATTTAATGAATGGAGTTAGACGTCAAGGTGTGCTTGTTAAATATCAAATGATAAATTCCAAGAAATCTTTTAAAAGAATTAAAAACACAACAAGGTAAATAAAATATTTTTAATAAAACTTATATATTTTCAGAAATTGGTCATCATTCTATCTGTAGAAATCTTTTTAGATGTTTATGAACATATTTAAGCATCATTAGTTGAATTAAAAGATTCTAATGACCCAATCACCTCTTCCATTGCCGATCGATTATTAACTAGAAGTAAGGATGGAAATTTTATATTAAATTTATTTATTTTGAAAGAAATATTGAAATATACACATGAGGCTTGTATTGAAATGCAGGCAGTTGGTAATGATTTGGCTATGGTAACCAAATTAATACAACAAACAAAAAAATAATTACAAAGACTAAAAGGTTAATATTAGTTGCTATTTCTATAAATAATTTTAAAATATAGCTAATGGAGACAATATTTTTTTAAAATTACATTCCTATCTACTAGTTTTTTGAAGAAGAATAATGTGATAACTGATTTATATAATATGAAATCAATATTCAAATTGGATCAAACAGAATTCAATAATTATGTTGAATAAAAAAATACAAGTTGAATAAATTAAAATTTTTAAATTATTCCGCAGTAAACATAATCTATGCAATTCGATCATTCTTAGAGCTCTTAGATCTACTCAAATCCCCTCCACTCTTGAACCATCCGGTCTTTTCAGATGTGATGGGAATAGGCCTGACGGTATTTCTCAAATTCCTTGGAAGCGCGGTCAATTCCTGGTCTGGGACTACTCTTGCATTTCAAACAGTCAATATACTCGAGAAAAAGGAGACATTCAAAATAGCGAAATATTCCGAAATCTCTCAAGAATATATTTTCATCCACATTATTTCCACTACCCTTACTACTTTAGGGAAATATGCCTTATCCTTTTTCAAGGAACTCGGCTCCCACATTCGTCAACTAACCGGTGAACCCCGCAAGGGCTTCTTCTTAAGGCAAAGGCTCGCCATCGCAATACACAAGGCTAATTATATTAGCTTCATAGGCAGTCTCTTCCCACAAGATTATCCTTCCTAACCTCAATATTTTTTTTTCTTTTTTAACACCGTCACAAACATATCTTTCATTGCAAACGATCAAACTACCGAATAAAAAATCAATAGCGAAATCATGACCAAAATAAAAAAATGGATAAATATTTTATATTACCATACCGACTTTTAAATCAATTAAATTCTTATTCTAATTTAAATTTATATAAATATTTATTAACCCTTTCTACAACTTCCTATTCAGCCAAAAGAGCTATGAGTAAAGTAAAAATAAACAAAACTCGAATGCGGAATAAAATTTCGGACCCATTTTTAGAAAATTTACTGTTAATATCCAGCGAAATTGATGTTTTTGAAAAATACAATTGATGATATTATAATACAATTTGCATTAACATCTATAAGGTTATCTAAATTATTAATAAAATAAGTAATGTATCTTTTTCACAGCGAATATATTACGCTTTTAAAAAATGTAAATTTAATTTAACATTTTATTATTTCTATGCAAAATATACTATAATTCATTTTATTCTAATATTTTATATAATAACTCTATTTAAAATATATGTTTTTAATTAATAAAAAGGTAATATAGGTATGTGGAATCAAGCTAAATATACCTCTTTAAAATTACTCGTCTTATATTTTACAATATTTTAGATTTTATAGAAATATTAATATGTTATCTCATTTAATTCACTTATATATATTTTATGAAAAGAAAGTGAATATCAACCAAATTATGAAAAGATTGCATTATTTAAATATAAGTTGATTATCATCTACAAATTAAAAAATTTTTTTTTGCCCTAAATAGGCTTGAAAGATTATAAATAGAATTATGTTGTAAAGTTATAAATAGTGGCTTATTATAAGATTTTTTAAATACAAACACTATAACATCGTAGGTCTGTAAATTTCGCGGCCGAAGACCGCGTATTTTTTTAGGTAGATATGGGTAAATTTTGGAGGGGGTTTGCCTCCATCAAATTTTCTGCTATGTAAACGCTGGTTAAATCTATCATATATAATAGATCCACTCTTTTAGATACTGACCTCTCGTAGGCCTTTGGGACAGCAAATGCCCACTCACCCTTTGTCCTCCCGCATCTAGCATTCAAGAAGATCGGGATGCTCCTCTGATCGCACGTTTAGTTGAATACCTAATTTCTAACAGGCCCTTTGAGGACAATCCCAATTATTTAGTATTATATGCAAGCTCAGGTTATAAATGGCAAGCCATCCCTAGTTCCAATCCTGGCCTTAATTTCCATAGCCCTCCGCCTTGGCTGTAATGCTGTGGTTCTCTCCATTTGCATCGACTGCAGCTATCCCATCGAATCGAAAGCTTACCATCCCTTACACTGTAAGTTCTCCCATGGACTACAACCGCGTCATAAATCTATCACCTTCTCCTAGCTGCTCTTAAATAAGTTAATATTCCATCCACCCTCGAACCAGTGGGCCTCTCAAACGAAAACGCCATACGCCCCAATGTCATATCTCTCATTCCCTGGACCAATGGTCTTCCACTCGCTTGGGACTATACCTATGCCGATTTTTCTACCAAGTACAACCTTTCATTTTCTGCCATCGAAAAGGCCGAAATCCTAAAAAAAAACAGCCTTACCAACACCGTGTTTATTCCAATCGTTACCAATACCCTATGTTCGGAAGTTATGCACCCAATTTCATTAAAACCATAGGAAAAAAAATGAGGCAGATCTCAGGGGATCCCAATGAATGATTTTACCTTAGTCAGCAGATTTCCCTGGTAAACTGCCGGTCCAATTTTTTAAGCATTCACAATCGAATTTATAATATCATATATTTTGATAATAATATATAAAATGTAGCCCCTCCCCCTACAATCCTCCCCTAACCTTCAAATTTTTAAGCAGTGCACCACAAATTTTAGTCTAAACTATTTCCTAGAAGGGATGTTTCTTTATCGCTACATCACTATGGCTTTTCATATACCATTATACAAATGTTTTTCTATATTTTAAATCTATGCTTTAATAATGGTCCTTTATTCATCGATTGCATTTTTGGCTATTTTATAGGTATTGTTTAGCATTCTCCTGATATATTACAATTTTAACCGCGGTATTTTTAAATACTAACAAAAATATGTCAAGCTGGGATTTTGAAGCACCCCAATTTTATGATTTCGCTACAGGTGATAAACCAGCAGGATCTGGTGATGAGTGGTTTGGTAAGATATTAAATATATGCAAAACTTGAAATCTTAAATAAAACAGATAAAAAATCAAAATCTCCGAGTGTAAGGCTGAGAAAAAGAATCTCAAATAAAAGTATACAATCAATAAATTAATATTTAGAGTTTTTAATTGTTAAAAGGTTTAACAGAAGACCCCATTAAAATAATTACAAATGATAAAACAAAGTAATATATTTTAATGTAATTATTAACTGGTTATTGTAATAGCTCAAAAAAATTGCAACAAGAAAACATCAATAAGGATTTGTCAAAAATGAATAATAATAAAGGAATTTATAAACAGAATTTAAGAAAAATACAAATTATAATGAAATCATGTACTGAACCAAAAAGTCCAATGCTTTCAACACGTTTAAGGATTAGGAATGACCTAAATTCTAATGTATTATAATTAATTAAAAGTCAAACCTTTTTAAATTTCAATCTCAGAAAGAAAATGTTATAATAGCTAAACATAATCAAACCATTGGCAATAATGTAAAAAAATCTACAATTACCAAAATTATTCCCTTTAGCTTCGAAACAAAAGATATACTGATTAAAGCTAAAAGGGAGGAAGCAATAAAGAATGATCAGCTTACTCAAAAAATGAAACAAAAGGTCTGAAATTTCATATCACAATAATTACTGAAAATATTTTTAATTAGACAACCTCTTTTTTAAGGAGGGGGCTTGGTGGGGGTAGGGATAATTATTTTTTGAAAATTTGCTCTCTTCATTAAGCCTTTATAATAATTCTTATAAAGAATAATACTATTTTATATATCAATTTTTAATTAAAAATTAATGAATTTTGAGCATAATTTAGTTAAAAATAAGTGTATATCCTATTTTTAAATAAAAATTTCCTTATTAAGAAACACATTATAAATTGTGAACTAGCCCCCAAATCCCTCCCCCCCCCCCAGTTAGCCAGATCTTATAAAAAATATCTATCATAGTTATAGACCTGCTCTCTTTTAATATTGGCACAATACTTTATATTCTTTTGTTTTACTTAAGGCTTATGAATTTAAAGCTAACCCAATTCCTAACATAAGACAAAAAGCAATAGAAAGATCAACCAAACCAACTACCAAACCTCATACATTTAATCTTAGAACTGAAATAAAAGCACAAAAGATCAACCAAATAAATGTAAATTTTTATAATTGAATATATTAAGATGAGATCTTATAAAAATTATATAACTAAGTATTTCTATATTTCAAAATAACATATTTAATAAATACAAATATTGGGCATATTTCTAATTTTAAATTCTTTTATTTCCTTTATGCTTTGACATTATCTTAATAAGTATTTGAGAGATGATAAAAGTGTATAAGCTTTTACTTCTCAATCATAAATTTTTTTATAACATAATAGTTAAAGCTATGTCAATACTAAAATGATTTTATTATAAATGATATTGACAGCTTTTTTATTTATAAACATCTTAAAATATTGACATAGCTATAACATACTTAAAATATTTTTATGGTAACTTATTATTAACATCTATGATGGTTAAGCATTAAAATTTTATAGACTATTAGAGCTTTGTGTAAATCAATTTGATCCAAACCCATCCAAACTTGGTTTAGACTTGAGCAGGCATTTTCTTGAACTTGGTCAGATTTGGATTTTGTTTTTAAAATTTATTTTGGACTTGGACCATCCATTTGTTTTTTTAACGTTTTTACAATAATTGTTTCTAAAAATTACCATAAAGTTAAGTACTTATCATTTTTTCAATTTTTGTTGAAAAATGAATTTTCATCAATCTGACTAGAAAAAAATGGATCTGGCTTAGACCGATTTCTAAATTAAAATTGTAGACTCATATCTTTGAGAAAAATATTTTCAGATTGGCCCAACAAAAATAATTTTATGATTCTATCCAAAAAACTGACTAACATATTCCAATTCGGAGATATAAATATTTATAACCAATCATTTTAGTATTGGCAAGGCACATTCATCAAAAATGAATATATTTATCTGATTCAATTCAAAATTTACAAATATGAATTTATCATACTATATTTATTTTTTAATATTTTTGTGTTGAATAATATATTTAAATTATTTTAAATATTATCAAATTTTTTGAAAAATAAATGGAAATGTCAGAATATACAATCAGTAAAATAGGAAATAAAAGTGCTCTATTACATCTTGTGAATGCCTATTTTTTATAGACATAAATTTGAGTAGCATAAATTGCATCTAAAACAAGAAACACTTGGGAAGACTTTTAAAAATGGCTTTTTAGAAATAGATTTTTTAGGGCTGTGCCGATATTAAATATCGGATCGGCACCGATATTTAGCGTTTCTAAAGATATCGGATAGCCGATACCTATAAAAACCCCGATCCGATCTTTTTACTTTTCTTTTTTTTTATATTTTATTTTATATTATACATTATTATAATATTTTCTAAATAATTTTTTTTAAACAATGCAAATGCACAACATCTCTTAAATTTTATTTATTTTTTAAAATAGATTTATAATATTTTAAAAGTTTTTTTATATAAATAAAAAGGAACACCCAAAGTTTTATTTATTTTAAATCTTTTTAAATAATAACGCTAATTTTATTATTTATATTTTAAATATGGTATATTATTTATATTTTAAATAAAAGAATTTTTTTAAATATGGTATATTATTTATATTTTAAATAAAAGAATTTTTTTAAATATGGTATATTATTTATGGAAATATTTTACAAAAGACAAAGATTATTTTGCAAAATGCGTTATCTGCAGAAATCTTATTTCACGGGGATGAATAAAAACTAGCAATATCCGTAAACTTTTTTTAATATTGTAGAAATAAAAAAAATTGAATTAAATGCATAATTCGATTTTTTGCATAAAAAATATTGATTTCTGAATTACATTTGGTTCAGGGGGGGGGTGAAAAATTAATATAAATATAGGATCGGATCGGGTTTGTAATAGGATCGGTGAATAATATGTGGATCGGCACAGCCCTAACATAATATAATCAAAAGTCAAATTATTGTAATATATATATACTATATATAATTTAAAAAACACTCCATAAGGGTATGGTACGGGTTTATCATTTTTAAAAATCAAGCCATTACAACATTCTCTTTTAAAATCCCACATCATAAGAAAGACTGCTAATTTTTTGCATAAAAAAATCCTTCAGGATGAAATCAGTATTTTTTGAAAGATCTTCTTTGAAACAATAATCTTTACAAAATTTCTGAGGATTTTTTTAAAAACTTTGATTAATATTTTTTAGGTCATGGAGGCAAGCATATGAATTCAAATAGGTTCATGAAAGCTTAGAATAGTTTTGTTGAACATTTTGAGACGATCGACCTAACAGGGTCCGATTTATGAACAACCCTTTGAACCCAGGGTAATATCATTTCAGGACGGGTTTAGACCCCCTTTAAGAAAAATAGGCTTCGATTAAACTTCTGTTATCAAAATTTCCGCTAAAATGAGTTTAAAATTTCTGAATCCTATTTGGGTTTGCATCATTACCGCTAAGGTCTAATTTTTATTGGTGATGTTTCTTTGGGTCTAGGGTCGATTCTACTTGTCTATAATATCATAATCACTTAATATTACTTCATAATGGGCATCTTATTCAGTCCTACTTTCAATATTACTTTAACAATTGATAAAAGACAAACTTTTAACGAAGTTTTTTGTCCTTAGTAGTGTTCTTATACCGCTCTTTTTGAGCCGATTTTTAAAAACGGCTAACTAAATATTTCATCCTGAATAATATTATGCAAGCCTGAAGATTTTGTTAGTAGAAGGAACAAAGGTTTAGACATCTATTAGCAAAATCTCGAGGCTTAAATATTTTTCTGGCTAAAATATTGAGTTAGCCGTTTTTAAAAATCGGCTCAAAACGAGCCGTTTAACAACATTAGTCCTTAGGGTAAAATAATTAATTAATACTCAAAAAAATTAAATTTGGATTGTTAGAAAGGATTGAACAAATCGCCTAGAATAAGTGGAGCTATTGGTAAGTCTACCTTCTCCAAAGGAAACTCAACCATGTCAAATACAAGACGTGCCAAGCCTATTGTTAGTTTAGTTAAAAAACAAAAAACGAATACTTTGACTGGACCTAAAAATAAAACCATGAATAACGGTAATAATTATTTTATACATATTTAATTAGTGGTGTTAAACTGCTCGATTTGAGCCTATTTTTAAAAAATAACTCAATGTTTTAGCCACAAATATATAGACTTCGCTAATAGATATCCTAAACTTTTGTGAAATCTATGAACAAAATCTTCATTTCATAATATTTTTCTGGATAAAATATTTAGCTAGCCATTTTTAAAATTCGGCTTAATACGAGCCTTTTAATAACATAAATATTTTTGTTATAACAATATAAGATTTTTAATTTTAAAAACACTTTTTAAAAATCAGATTTTTTTATTCTTTATTTCTTTTTAAAATAGGAAATATAATTTAGGCTTGGTTACTAAAGTTGTTAAATCAGAGCATGATAATAAAAATCTAATATTGTTAAACGGTTCTATTTACTCCGATTTTAAAAAAGGCTAACTCATTATTTTGTCCTGAAGATTTTGCTCATAAATGGCACAAAGGTTTGAACATTATTAGCAAAATCTCGAGGCTTAGGCAATATTTTCTGACTAAAATATTGAGTTAGCCGTTTTTAAAAATCGACTTAATTCGAGTCATTCAACAACACTAAAAAATCTTTTAAGTAAAATTTAAAATAGACAGTTTGAGTTAGCCTCAATTTCAGACGATAAAACTAACCTTTATATCGTCTACCATTGTAAGCAGGGTTGCCAGGTCAAAATTTTCAAATTGCGGGAGAAATTAGGTATTTTGTGGGAGAAATATGAAAATTGCGGTAGAAATATAAAAATTGCTAAAAAAAAATTTTTCGGGCCTGCTGGCCTTCGGCCGGGATTTTAAATTGACTTAATTATCCGCCTATTATTTTTTATAATTAGTTTATATAAATACAATGTCGATAACTATTTTTCAAAATAAAATAACATCTTGATTTATTAAAATATATTAATTTAGAAACCAATGATCCTTTTTAAATATAAAACAATGTAAACAAAGATAAAGTTTTTTAAAAAACAAACGATTTATTTTGCAATATAAAAAATATATTTTATGCAAATGTCCCACAAAACATCCGCAATTGGAAATCTACCTTGTGTGTGTGTATAACATTATAGGGATTAGAAATTTGCAAAGTTAGGCCCAGCCCGTACCTGGGGCTTCGGGCCGGGCTTCTGCCTAATTCTATTTAAAATAATCGGGTTTGGGCTGGGCCTTTAAAAAAAATTCAGGCCGGGTCGGATTTTGAAATTTTTTTAAAATATATCTAAATTTATCAATTTTGTATTGAATTTTTTATGTAAAATAAAAAACAACATATAACATATGTCTTTTATTTTGAGTAATTATAAAAATTAATTTCTATACTTGAATAAATTCGGGTCAGGCAAGTTCGGTAAATTTTTTTTAAAAAAATTTCAGGTTCGAGATCACTAATAGGGATAGCGCTTAATTATCACGTATCAGATATCACGTTTAAATACATAATAAGGTAAGTACTCATTTCAATGATAATATTTTATTTATTATTGTTCAATCACATTATTATAATCAGTGCAGGAGAGCGTATCTACATCCATTGCAAAACAAAAATATTCTCCAAAAATAAGAAATAATACAGATGTAACCACAGTTGCGGCAATTGTAATCACTTATCTTGTAGTACAACATTCACAGAGCTACTTATCATTACAATGTGGTAGAATCTTTCCCCATAATATTTAACGACTCCAAGATAAATGAAAACTTTACTTGTAGAACAAAAATGAGCAAGGATCATCAATGTTTTAGAACCTGAATTCAGGAGGTCAATTCGATTTGAAAGATGGGCATACATATGCAATTCTAACAGATGCATCTAGCTATTTCAACAAAATTAAGGACGTTTCAAGAAAACTATTAAATTTCTTCCCCTTAAATAGTGAAAAATCCAAAGACATAGTTAACCATATAATGGTAAATATAGCAGATTCAGGATTATCAATAAATTGCATGTCAGCTTTCTGATCTGATAATGCCTCAGTGAATTTGGAAAAACCCAGAGTGTATTTACAGAATTGTGTCAGCACAATGTTGGTTGCGATATGTTCCTATTACCCGCCATCGATAGAATCTTTTATAAACCTTTAAAAATATATTTCTTAAATAAAGATTATAAAAGCTGTCCTAACATTTTGATAATTTTTTTCAATAATGAATGGCAGAGGTATATTTAGATTAATTTCACATGTAGGAAATCTACTACATGCTGTTAATGTGCAGTTGCAATCAGAAGAATCTTAACAAAAATTCACAAAATTATGCTGCAGATGTGTTCATCTTTACAGTTAAAAATTGACAATAAATTTTATGGCGCCATTGCTAAAACTTAATTATATTTTATTTGAAATTTAAATAATAGAACTAAATGTTTACCGTCGTTATTGAGATATTTATAAAATTCCTGGCATGACATAATATATATTTGCTCGGCCTCTTATGTTGTTAAAGCAATCCGATTTCTCTCCTTTTTCCAGGCAGACCTCATCAGGCTAAAAACGCGCTTTAGAATGAGGTAAGGAGAAGACATACTCGCAATTTTTTTCCAAGCATGGGGATTTATTGTTATAATTCTACCCGTTTCTCCTCTGCTTTTAGACAATCTAACTTTAAGTATTTTGGCGAATCATAAAAAATAGAGAGAATTACATTCTCCTCAAACAAGATATCAATGTCTTTCGGTATTTTTAATATATTTATTAAATTATAAAAACCATCAATTGATGGTTTCTGTTCCAAGGTTATAATATTTATACCTTTGTAAATAGAGTTATTAAAATCAAATTTTGATTGTAAATATTCTAAAATTGTCTTAATAAAAATATCTGCTTCATTTAAAAATGTATTAATTAGAGTATTATGTGAACATTTTAATATAATTTTTTAGCAATAGCGCCATAAAATTTATTATCAATTTTTAACTGTAGAGATGAACAGTGTAGCATGATTTTGTGAATCTTTTTTAAAAAGAGTATTTAATTTAAACTTAATTTTTATAAGTTGCAAAGGAATATTAATTGTATGAAATAGATTTCCTATATGTGAAACGAATCCCAAATATGCCTCTGCCATTTCATACTCGAAAAAATTTTTAAAAATTTTAGGACAGCTTTTAAAATTTCTATTTAAGAAGTATTTTTTTTAAGGTTTGTAAAATTTTAAAATTCTATCGATGGCAGGTATTAATGACAACCACCTGATAGGTATATTTCGCAACATCTCACACCATTCCAAGTTTTTAATTCATTAACTCTTTTAGTTGATAAATTTAATTCGTTAAAACATTTCATCACAATTATTTCGACATCCTCAGATAGTATATTCATTGCCTTCTTGCAAGAATTATGTAGTATATGGCATATACAGAATATTGGTATTAATTCATTATTGTGCTGCCTCAATTCGGTAACTTTGGTTTTTGTCAAAATTTACAGAGGCATGATAAGGGCAGAAAGCTGACATGCAAATCATTGGTAACCATGAATCAGCTATATTTAATGTGGCTAGCTACATTGTTGGATTTTTCAATATCCGAGGAAATTTAACAGTTTTATTGAAATGTTCTTATTCTTGTTGAAATAGCGAAGGATCGAGGGAAATGTTTTAATATTTCCCTTATTAAATGCATCTGTTAGAATTTCATATGGATGCCCATCTTTCAAATCTTCTAGAATTGACCTCTAGGATTTAGGTACTAAAACACTTGTGATAGCCTTGCTCATTTTTGTTCTGCCACAAGTAAGGTTTGCACTTATATTGGAGTCGTTAAATATCATGAGAAAAAGATTCGACCCACATTGTGATGATATAGCTCTTTGAATGTTGAACTACATGATAAATGTATACGATTTCCGCAATGTAGTTGCATCTGTATTATTTATTATTTTTGAGAATATTTTTGTATTGCAATCTATGTAGATATACACCCGTGTACTGACTTATATGAATGAAAGATTTATTATGGGATATAAATAAAACAGGATAGAAAGAAATTTACAAACTAGACATGTTTTTCGAATAATATTTAAAATTTATTTTAAAAATATAAAAATAATCAATTAATGTCTCTCAAAATTATTATTTATATATTAAAAACGTTAAAATACTAAAAAAAAATCGGGAGAAATTAAAAAATTGCGGTAGATTTTTGCGGGAGATTTTTAATTGAGGTAGTTTTGCGGGAGAGAGCTGTCTGCGTGTAAACTAAAAAATTGCTGGAGTCTCCCGCTGATGGGGAAGACATGGCAACCCTGATTGTAAGATTTCGTAAGTAGTATTTTTGAAATTGTTCAGGAGAGACAAAAAAACTATTTTAACTGTTATTATAATTATAATATATACTTATTAATGAATAATTAACTTTTAATTATAATACTTCTTCATTAGAATGGTTTTAAAAATATATATTAACATAAACGACTCCCAAGCCACTTACGAGTTTTTGTTAATCAGTTACGAGGATTTGATGCTTGTCTTTTCTTCGTTCCAATGTTATTTGATTTAAAAAATATACTAGTTTTTATTGGTTATTGAGATATAATTTTTTGAAAGATGATAGCTGGCTTATAGATGAACTCTTTTATCCAAAAAACGTATTTTGAAAAAGATGCTATTTATGAGCTCTTGAAGCGGTGCGATATTTAAATCCAAAGTAAGATAGAATGAAGGAAATATGGATTTAAATTTTATTTAATCTTCAAAAAAACATTTTTTATATATATAAAAATAGACTTCTTATATTTATAAATTTTGTATTTTAAAACATCAAATTATCGTAATTCATTATAAACAATTTCCTGGGGTTATTTATGGAAACTTGATGCACATTAAAGTCACGCTGCCACCATCATTTGGACAATTTGAAAATTTAAAACTATTTGTTGTGGATATCAATACAATTTCTTGTGGAAATAAAGTACCCTCCGGGCAATAATGATCTACATTAAATATGCTGTATTTTAGTATATATCGCCGCCAATTAGCCCTAACCATGTATAAGAGTTAGGGGAAATGCTTTCGACTTATATAACGAAAATTTTAAGTGTTGCTAGATTCTATACGTGATTTCTAACGTTAAATTTACATATTTTTGCTAAATTGATTAAAAGAAGAAAACGTCCGCATTGGACTTTGAAAACCCATAACCCGGGATATATTTGAGCTAGAGCATTAAAATTTTGATTTTTATAAAATGCACACGCTATTTAATTAGCAAGGTCCTGTTTTTTTTGATATAAATATTAATTAAATATTTTTTAACTGTAATAAAACCGTTAATTAAAATTGTGTCGGTAAAATGTATCGGTTATTTTATAGCAATACAGCTAAAAATGTATCTCAATAAATAATACAAATACATTATATTAAAATATAACTAAATAGTATAACTTATAATTTACATGTATATAACGATTCTGTTGCTGAAACTGAAATGCCGTGATTTTTTAAGTTAATATCAAATATAGATAAGGCTCCAATTATACTGAAAGTACCCTGAATCAATGCTCTCTTTAAATTATTGGCTACTACTACAGACTAATCGAATTGGCCAATTTACAAATATCAGATGTAATGTATTTGATACATAAAAAAATCTTTCCATAATGAAGCCTATGAAATTCGGTTTGATTTTGAGTAGTGCCCGATTTGGGTCGATTTTTAAAACGGCCCGATTAAGATTTTAGCCAAATTAATATTGTGTAAGCATCAAGATTTGGCAAGTAGAACAAACCTTTCTGCCATCTATGAACAAAATCACCAGGCTTACAATATTATTTTGGTTATAATCTTAATTAGGCCGTTTTTAAAAATTGACTCGAATCGGGTTTTTTAACAACACAAAGTTTGAGGTTTCTAAATTTGAATGATAAATATAATAGGTGACTATCTTGTATTACACTATAATTATGCCCTTTTAAAATAATATATTTCTTCTCCGTTTTATGGCGATTTCCAGTTTTACCCAGGTGTAGGCCTTTAAAATAATATGTATTTCAAATAAATATAAAATTAGTTACCAAGGTTATGGAGTTCAGTTTTGCCACTGATAAAAGAGCCCAGCAATGGAAATTGGCACAGGAAGCAAAGGATAAAAAGAAATGAATAATTATAATTATTTTTAAGAAAAATTTATAACCACACTTTTCTACAAAAATAATTATATAATTGATATTGACTTAAAATTTATTTTAACTATATTTTAAATTATTTTTTTTATGGATTATAGAAAATTTTAACATATATTTTTATATTTCTTCTTTTTTATATCAAAAAATTTTTTAAAATGGATAATAATAAATGATTTTATATAATATTTTCGAAAATAAATTGAAATTTTTACCATTATATTTCATTGACTATTGATAATTTATTTTACCCTTTTCCTTCGCCTGTAATTTTTTTTACCTCATGATTTACTTTATTAATATGTTATGTATATTCATAACATAATAATTTGAATTAATAACAAATAATAAATTTAACAAATAATAAAATTTTATTTTCAAAATTTATTATTCTTTATTTCATATTCTAATTTCTAACTTCTAAGCCTTTTTTTGTATAGGAATGCAATGCCATGACTAGACATTAATGTATTAGTTAATTCATTAAAATGCATCTAAAAGTAGGTATAAAGGAGTTCAGTAAACGAAATTTAGTGGTCTGATAAATTTTATTTATTTTATGAGCAGGCCACAAAATGATGTCTATAACTGATTACTTTATTTACATACAATTATTGGATCAATCGTCAATTTAGGAATTAATATATATCATATGACATGACATGACTTTAGCTTGAACCATATTGTATTTAAATTACTTTAAAGTTGGACTTGTAAAAGGCCCATTTATCGATACGGTTTCCATTATTTCCTTCTATTCTTTAAAAAGTGCGCGAAGATATTACAACAAAAATATCGGAATAAATGATATACTTATTTATTTTTTTCAAAAGATGTTGAGCGGATTTTATATTTTAGGAACATTTTCTTTTAAAAAATAAAATTGTAAATATTAAAAAGATATATTCCGCTTTTTTAAAAAAATTCTATTATGTTCCAATGTCGCTTTAATTAAAGGGGCACTTATCTATCCAGGATAAGATCTTGAGCGGTAAAAGCGCGTTTTTCAGCATCCCAGAAATTTTAAGTCTGTCCTATTTGACTTGTTTTTTCAGTATTTATATATAAAATATTTAGTCGCTACGAGCAATAATATTTTTAAAAATATATAATCAGTACCCTTTTTATTTGGGGCACGAAATATGACGTATTAGATTTATTGGAATTTTAGGGGATTTATTTTTTAAAAACAAAATCTAATACTCATTTTTTCACAATTTGCCTAATTTTCCAATTATTAATTTTTTATAAATATTTATTAATTATTCCTTCAGCCCAAGGTTGCAAAATGTTTTTTTATTCAAAAATGTGAATCTATTTTTCTCTTTTTATAATGACGGGCCTCAAAAATATATGGGCCTGAATAGAAATCTTATTCAGATTTACAATACCTTGTTTATTCCGATAGACATTTATTTTAGCCACTTTATATTTTATTTTTAAGAATTTTTCTTATATTATTTTCACTAAAAATTAATACACAGAGCCATAGTAGAGTAAATTATAAATTAGCAGCGTCTACATGAACGGGGGCGGGGGTTGGATAAATTTATTGGGGGGTGGGAGGGTTATCTATTAAATTTTTAGATAAATAGGACAAAATATATTGCTATAAAAATTAATACTTTATTATAGACCTATTATAAAACAATGATATTGCTGATAATCGACTAAATCTAATAAATCTTTCTGCTCTCCTTTTAAATGTAATTTAAAAGGGTTAGATATTCTCAGCAAACTCATATTGATGCCAAACAATATGCTATAATATTGCATTCATTATAAATGAGGGGGTTTTTAATTGAATTCATGATCTATTAACTCTAATATTCACAATATTTTGGTAGTTGGTAGTAAATAATTTAAGTTATCTTTTAAAATTTATGAAAGGAGTACGAATATAATAAAAAAATGTGTAATTAATAATGTGAAAACATCGCCACCGAAGCTGGCGGAAATTTTCAGGAAGGAAGGCATAGATTCAATGAAAATCCTGTCATGTATACGCTGGATATTAGGTATATATAGCCATCTCATTTTGAAATTTCACCTATAAAAATAAACTCCAGTATTTCTTAAAAAACAATTCACATGAGGCATATATTTCTAAGTTCATATTTAATTAAAAAGATCAGTTGTTCACAGGGGCTTTTGGACCTCCTTCCCTCTCCCCTACCAAACCATAACAAGCAAAAATAGAAAATAATTTTATCGCCCTCCTATCACCGCCCAGCAGTAGAAGTCCGTTAATCATAAAATAATTGCCAATAACCGGTCAGATATCCGGCTAACGATAAACACAAATTTTAAAAAATTAATGAGTATTTCTTTTTTTAAAATATGATTTATAAATCTAAACCATAAATCTCTTAACACAAAAATATATAATCTTATTTATAAATTAATATAAATAGATTTTATAATATCTTAGGTTGTATAAATAATTTATGTAGAAATATGGGAAATTATATAATTTTTCAAAATTACTTTTTTCAAGAATATCAAAATTTTCATTTTCCTTTACCGCCTATATTCCATCAACTTTGCTTAAAATACCGTAGTTTTTAATAGTCCATAAGTTTTTATTTCGGATAGGAAACATTTGGATAGGATCTATAATACACCAACAGATAATACTTTCTAAACAATCATATTAAGTCAAAAGTCCTTTTTCTATAAAATATCGTGTCATTTATTTAGGAGTTGTTATTGATAAATCCGTATATTTCTATTCAGATATGGTAAAACTCACCCAGAATGCACCAAAAGATAAGAGTATACCACAACTTAGATCTTTTCTTCGGCTCGCGAAATATCAACATTTTATTAAAAATCTACATAGTAAAGCTGCGCCATAACATAAGTTTTCTATCGGTGAATCAAAGAGGAACAAATTTCTTTTGAGCAGGGAGTTATTGTTTATGAGGAAACATACAACTTATTCAGGATTAGAAACGGTATTCTTCATTATTATTTTGCCATCGACAAGTCTGGAAGTAAAAGTTATTGCTGTAGCATTATCAAGACCATACTTGATGTGGAAGAGAATCAAGATTCATGAAAAGCCTCATGTGCCAAAAAGTATTTTAAGAAATGTGTTGATGCAGGGTTATTAAAAAAAGGGCAGGACATATTTAGAAAATTTTTAATTCAGGATCAAGAACTATTTTTACTATTGTTGAAGAGGTATTTGTTGGCCTTAGCATCATTGAATGTGATATGATGTCAATCAAATTAAGAAATGTGGTGATAGAAATAATTCTGGTGAATCCCGAAGAAAATATGACTAAATTAATATTTAGATTATTGCTGGAGGTCCTGGTGCGATATTACGATATTGATAGAGATAGGTTGATGAAATAACATATTATTCCTAGCCTTTAGAAGTTGACTATTGGTTAATTGTGGTGGATTTCTACTCGAAATGGTTAGAGATTGACCTGATGTAGAATACTTCAGAGGAAGCGATGATCAAAAGTTTGCTAGGTTCGAAATACCTACATATAAAGTGTCAAAATAATGAAATGCAGTTTATATATGAGGAATTTCATCGCAATGAAATTAGCATATGTCATATATGGTCCACCCACTCCATATCATCACCTAAATAAATAAATTGACTATCCTTACCCTACTTTAAAACTTAATATTGGGCTATAAGAGAGTTCATCTTGGATCTGTAATAGGCTTTAACACAAGTTATAGCGACCATTTAATGGAGGAGCATAGCTCACGGGGAGATCTCTTATCAATGATTATGTTCTGTAAGACAAGTAAAAACTAATTTAGATTGGATTACGCCTAGAGGCGGAATATGAAAATGAAAAGCCAATGCGAGAAGTCAAAATAATACTCAAAAAAAAATTTTTTTAAATTTATATGGCTAAATAACGAGAGTATCAAATATTAGAGATAGAACAGGTTGTTACTTTTATATCGTAGAGATTCCTAACGAATGCTGCATAAATTTGCAGCAGTTGAGATCGTACAGTAATTCTGAACAGAATTAATATTGCCAAATCAATGATGGAAAAAAAATAATCGGTTATGGCTGCTTATCAAGAAATCTTAAGCTAACTGAAAAGTTTATAGGAAAAATTACTTTATGTTTAGAGAAATGATAAATTAAAATGAACATTCTAAAATATAATAATACTTTAGTATTATATTTATAATATATTAAAGTGTATTCACGGCAAATCAAATAAAATAACACAATTTATGGCTTGACCCTTGATTTTATAAAATCTCGTGTACTATTATCATCTGTATTTTTTTTTTTTAAATGTTAAATTATAGATTGCCTAGATATGGCCCTCAATGTGCCAATTTTAATCATTTTTGAATTTTTAAATTTTAATATCTACAGTTGTTGAACTAGCATATTTATTCAAAAATATTTTATAACTTATTAATAACTTTTTAGTTATAAATTTTTTAATGACTAAAATATTTATAAGAAAATATCGGACGGAGAAAACAGAAAATAAGTATAAACGGAAATTTGTACTTTTAAATCACTAAATATTAAAATATACTATATGCTACTTAGATCTATCACATTGTTAAGATGAGTCCCAGCATATATATTGGTTTCTTAAATTTTTTTATCTGTATATTAAAAATATTATTTAAAAGATAGATTACTTTGAAAATCTTTTATCATTTTTTGAATATGTTGTCTATATTTATCTAAAATGTTTTCATATAAAGGAATTTAATAATAAAAAGTACCATCTTGTTTAATTTGATTTAGAGTGTCACAGAAGGATTTCTTTTAACCAATAAGGTGGTTCATGTTGGAAATTTATATAATTTCTTTATTAAATTGTAATGTACTTATAATAAATATTTACTTCATAGTTTGTTTTACACAACAGTAATTAAGATTAATTTGGAATTTAAAAGATGATAATATAAAAAAATATATAATAATTATTGACATCAGAGTCAGACATCTCCTATGTCCTATACCCTTGATCATCAATCGTTCCATTTTGACATATATAGAAACTCTTAGATTGAGCGGCTTACATTTTTCAAAAACTTCGAAACGATGGTGAGAAATAGTATTGTTAAAAAACCCGATTTAGATTGATTTTTTAAAACGGCCCGACTAAGATTTTAGCTAAAATAATGTTATATAAGCATCGTGATTTAGCAAATAGATGTCCAAGCATTTCCGCCAGCTATGAACAAAATCCTTATGCTTACATAATGCTGTTTTGATTACAATATTAGCCAGGTCGTTTTATAATATCGGGCTTTTTAACAACACTATTGAGAAACATTATTTTTTATATTATTAAATTCAAATTGAAATTATATTTAGATAAGAAGAAATATTCGGTTGCGTAGAGAATACTTATATAAAAAATCAATAGAACAGAAGCTAACATCAATTAAAGAGAAAAAAGAAAGATTAAAACAATGTATTGAGGATAATCACGTTATTGATACTGACTTGAAATACAAAGCACTAGAACTCGAAAAATCATTAGAATGGGAAAATCAAAATTTACAAAGTAATTAATAATTATTATTTATATACTTATTCTGATGTTTTTCAATATTTCTTTAAATTTATATTAATAAAATTCTAACTCATCTAAGAGAATTCAATCTTAATTCTACATTTATACATATACTCATATTCCTAGCCATGATTTTTCTAACAGGGTTGCTTTAGGTGCCACCTACATTCCTTCATTAATTCTATTGAAATGATTTACACCTTTAGTTGTATATTTTTTTAAATTAATTCTTGTTTTCTACTCTTTTAATGCTTTTTTATTTTAAAATTATTATTTTAAAAAATTGCCCTTTATAATCCTAACACTGCATACATTTTTGGGGAGATGATGGCAGGAATGCAGGGTGATTTTTATTATTTAAAATTTTATTTAAAAAACTTCCAAATTGGGAAAAGGGCTTTCTACATTGGATATGCAGATGGGTAAATTATTAGACTAGGCAATTTTTGCTAAAAAATGTTTTTAAAAAATAATATTATTTTTAAATGTATTGAACTAAATCTGTCAAATTTTTCTTATTCTTTAAGAAGATTGAATATTTTTATTAGTGCTTTTAACTAGGTAAGCTTTTTTGACCTTAACTTGGTGTTATATCTAAACATTTTACCTCTGAGTCTGACCCTAAAGTTGATTATTGATTGCCAATCTACTACCATACCACCACAGGTCAACTTTAAAGTCATCTTTGGCTTTAGAAAAATTTTAAAAAAAACCTCCACATAGTTTTCAATTGGGTTGTAAATTTTTAGTAGTATAATATAATCAGGTGCTTAACTAAGGTGGATAGGAGGGGTCACAAATTTGTATTAGTCTAATAAAAAAATTCTACCTACTTGCCCCCCCCCCACCCACACTTTTCCCCAAAAATGTATGTTATAATTAAAAATTTAGAGATTGTAGAGGTTATTGCAGTTTAATATCCTTAATATTTTTTCAAAAAAATGGAAAATAATTTCTAAAATTATAAGGATTAATATTCAAAAAAAATTAAAACATGCGAAGTTCGTAGTATAATAATGATAAAAAAAATTTAAAATATTCAAATATATACTAATATTACATTATTATACCATAATAATCCAAGATTTCGATAAAAATAAATATTCAAAATATTTAACTGTACAAATAAAATCTTATTCAAATTTATAACTTATAAAAATAATTATTTAAATACAAAAAAACAAGTTATTACAACAATGTATACATTATACTATAAGTAAGAATATGTAAGAAAAAGTTAATAAATTTAAAATAATAACTAATATTCAAAATTTTTACAATAAGTATACCTAAAGACCTCTAATAAAATGTATGAGAAATCCCCTAACCCCGCCCACACCCGCCCATCTAAGTGGGCGAGCGGGTGGGCGGGTAAGCAAAATCCTGAATAGCCATGATGTTATGTTATTTGCAAAAAGTATTTAGTCTTGACTCTGTGAAAAATGAATATTATCTTTTTATAATATATCAAATTAAATGTAAACAATTAATCAACATAATCTCATAGTTGACCATTATTTTTAAAAGTGGGTGACTTAGTAATTGATGATCCAATATCAAAGCTATTGATAGTTTTGTTCATATTTTGGTAAAAATCTCTAGTAATAGGTAATTTTTTTTGGTGAAAATATTAACTCAGGTGATTCAATGGAATATCTTATGGAAATTTTTAATCTAATTTGTAATGATGCTGATTTTTATTAATCTGGAATATAATTTAATGTTTACTTGTAATGTTAATTATAATATTTTTAGTCCAGGTGGTCCATGCTCTATTTCCAGTTTTTATGTGGTGTAGAGTTTTGTTTGGTTGAAAATTGGCTCCAGGCTGATCAACAGAATGTTAAACTAAGCTGTGTAACTGAAATAAAACATTATCATTTATTACCAAGCCATAACAGTTATAAAAAATGAAAGGATCGAACTGAAACGTTTATAGTTAAAATAGTTTTCTTGGTACTTTACCTTTTATTATCAGTCAAACAAACTGCTTTTGCACAGATGTAAGAGACATTTCCAATGTTAACCACTTTTTTATTTCTTAAAAATTGGCTAGAATTTTTGTCATCAATTATTAGCCGGCAAAATATCTTGGTACATAATTAATACCTTTATCAGATTGATAAATGAGGGATTATCGATCAAGGAAATTGGCTGATCTATATCTATTATATAATTGATTGCCACTTTACTGGCCAATTTTTGAGAAACACCTAATATGAATGTTGTTGGATTGATTAATTTGTTTGAATTAAAAATCGATTTTATTGCATTCTTTTATAGTACACCAAAATTATGTAGATATTTTTTCAATCTCTGAAATTTGAAGTGTGGATATTCGAATTTAAAATAGTTATAATTTTATAAAATATATGAACAATACTTTTGGATATTTCTTTAGGTTAAAGTTGATTGATTTATTGTGTGATACATAATTTAAATCCTGTAGTAAATATTTTATTGAGTTTTATCGTATTTCGTAAATTTGGGAAAAGGAAATTCGAGCAAATATAATTTTTTAACAAAAATATGATTGTTATCTTATCAAAATATTTTCTTCCATAAAATTTCAAAATTACATTAAAATATAAAGGATAATAATTTTAACATTAATAATGAAATTATAAATTAATTTTATTAATTTTTATAGTGCATTTATAAAATATTATTATTAATTTTTTTATAGTAATTATGTAAAATTGAAAGTAGCGAAATAGCGCTATACTTAGTAGCTACTCTTTTAACTTTTAAAATAGCTCTTAACTTTAACAACTCTCCCTATCGATTCTACAACTTGAGTTAGAAAGCTTGTGGATAAATTTGAAACTAGGCCAGCGGCTTAAAATTATCTAAAAATTGGGAAAAAATACTTCCTTAATTTTTTTTAAGAATTTTTAACTATAAATGGGGTTAAATGGGCCACCACATTTAAAAAAATATAATAGGATGTATAAACTTTGTTTGGATATTTTAGAATCCTTGTCGTTTTTGGTTAAATCTTTTATGAAGAAAAAACATTTTTTTCCATATATTGATTCTTAATTAATATCTTTCAGAAATATACAAGAATTATGATGTCTTGAATTTGGGCCATGTACTTAGTTTGTGTGCGAATTGTCACCCAAATCTCAAGGGTCAGTTAGACTCGTGACCGATTTGACTTGCAATGAAAATGGCCCATTACGTTGTGTATTATAGTGTTTTATATTTACTTTTTTTGCAAATGCTGTTTTTTTTTGATAAATGAATTCAGCATACTATATTTTTATTTATATCCACATTAAAAATGTTAAAGTATAATTCAGAATAATCATTTATATATGCATTATTACTTCGTGATTTTCCGATTTAAAATATAAGGAATTCTTTTTATAATGAATGCTTTCCTAAACATTTTTGAAAAAAAATGGATTTAGAACATTATAATACTGCGGCCAACGATTTGGTAAAATATTCTGTCTAATGAAATTAAACGTTAAAATAATATCTATTTTTTTTAAAAAAAATACACCATTAAGATCCTGAAATCGACGATGAGTATAGATACGCTGGAGTTGAAGATCCTAAAATAATGATCACTACCTCGAGGGATCCTAGTTCAAAATTGAAACAATTTACAAAAGTGAATTTATTAATTTTGAATTTGATTTTTTAAATATTTTTTTTTTACAATTCTTTAAATTATAGGAATTAAAATTGATATTCCCGAATTCGCAGAGAATGAATCGTGGTCGGTACGAAATAAAAATGCTCCTGGAGGCTTGCAAGGAGAATAAAGTCACCGATTTTATCTTAGTCCACGAACATAGAGGACAGCCAGGTATGTAATATAAACAGCCTATTATTTATGATATTTATTGCTATTTTATAATATGAGATGTACCCGATAGTTTAAATTTTTAATCGATAACATAAAACATGCTGAAAAATGATAATTATCCTCATAAATAGACATCGATACCCGTCAAAAATGCGGTATTCCAACGTTGATATATTCGTATAATCGCTCCAAAAATTGTATAAGTTGGAGAGGGGAGATATATCTTTTCCGAAAAGAAATTATTATGATAAAAATAACTAAATATTTCAAAATGTTAAATTTACAATTTAATCACCCTTGCTATTTCTATTTTTTTTTGAAAAATATCCCTAAAAGCTTTTGATAGCTGAAGAATACCCCTAAATTTCAGTATATTTTTTTTTATATTTAATAAACCTAGTGTAAAATACTTATATTTTCTCAATCGTCATTTTCATCATAATATCTTCTACAAATTTTTCAGATAACATTCAAATATGTCATTTACCATTCGGTCCTACGGCTTACTTCACCTTATCGAATGTCGTTATGAGGCACGATATTCCGGATATAGGAACCATGTCCGAAGCTTATCCCCATCTCGTATTCCACAATTTTAAAACTAACCTGGGTAAAAGGGTCACGAATATTCTCAAATACCTATTTCCGGTTCCCAAGGAGGATAGTAAACGCATCGTAACTTTTTTTAATCTGCGCGACAATATCTCATTTCGGTTTAGTTTATTTTTTTTAGATTTGTAACTATCTTGAAAAATGATGCTAACATATAATTAACATGTGTTCTAACTCTAACATTTTTTTAAAATTTTTATCAGCTGAGCGGTTTTTAATATCGCAATTCTATGCTTAAGAACCCACATGAATTAAATCTCGAAATTTTTATTTATTGGTAAAAGTGGGTTTTCGTTCTAAATTGCTAAAAACAAGAAGAAATTGGGAATCTCGCTTAATCTCCTACAAAAATTTTTAAGTAAATTTGAAATTATTTATAGATGTCAAAGATACACTTGTATTTAAATTGAGTTTTTTTTAAAATAAATAGATAAAAATGATGGAAATATGATCAATATACCTAAGTGTTGTTCCCAGTTCCTCCATTTTAATCGATTTTCAATAATACTTTTAAAATTTTCTAGGAGCGTAATTTCCAATTTTTTTTAACGATTTAGAACCTATCCCTAAAAAATGGAATCAGTAAGAACTATATAATAATTAAGCTACGATTTATTAAGAATAAAATGTTATTTTAGGGACTCGGAACAGGATCTCGCTCCAATCCGTTTTTTTTTAAATTTAGATTTGCTTTTCCAATTTTTATCGTTTCCCGCGTTTCTCTTATACTATGACATTTTTGGGATCCCCGGTTATTTTATTTATTTTTTATAGAGATTTTATTATTTATATTTATTAGACATCATTCCTACAAGAAAGAAGACAAGATCAAATTGTCCGAAGTTGGTCCTAGATTTGAAATGAAATGTAAACTTGCTAAATTTTTTTACTCTTTTTAATTAATTTTTTTTAAAAAAATAATAAAATTTAAATATTTAAAGTGTATGAAATCAAATTAGGAACTCTTGACACTGCTCAAATATCTGATTCAGAATGGAGTTTAAAACCTTATATGAATACCGCCAAAAAACGCCAGTTTTTGAGTGATGAATAAAGATTGTAGTTATATTATATTATAAATGTTATTTCGTGTTGTAATATAATAATAAAAAATTGAATGAATTATGACCATTTTTTATAGTATTTATTTTGTTTTCATTCTAATTCGCTAAAAACATATTAAAAAATTGGGAATTTTGCTTATATCTCCTAGAAATTTTTTTTAAATTAATATTAATCATAGACCTGGTCGTATTTTAATTTTTTTAAATATACCCAGGCCGGGCTGTATATATTAAAACCAAATATTTGAAATAGCCATTATTAGCTATATATAATTATTTTAAAAAATCCAGGCCGGGCCTGAAAATTTTTTTTAAAAAATCTGTGCCGTGCAAATGGTACCTCTGTAGGTCTCTGATATTAATAGATGGTATGGAAGTAAACAATAGTATGTAAATTGGGTTTTTTTTAAAAAAAATTTCTAAACATAGGGGAAATATCATCAATATTCCCAAAAATTGTTTCCAATTCTAGGAACAATGATGATATTTCCTCACTTTTTAGAAAACTCAATTTAGGTTTACTTCCTTGGCATCCATCAATATTACTTTGAAAATTTTCTCAGAGATATATGCAAGATTCCCAAATTTTAGCGATTTAGAACTTATCCCATTTATTTTGGTTATTAAAATAAGTGTAGTGTTACGGCTCGATTTGGCTAATTTTAAATTAAGATTTTTGTCAAAATAATATAATGCAAACCTCTAAATTTCGTTAATAGATGTCTAAATCTTTCTGCCATCTATAAACAAAATCTTCGAATTTGCATAATATTTTTAACGCATATATTGGGTTCGCCTTTTTAAAGATCGAGCCGTTTAAGAATCATAAATCGATGTCAAAATAACATTACAAAGGTCGCAGACCGGACGCGGTATGGAAGGGAAGTTTAGTTCTCCAGAAATGTCGATTTAAAAACAGAAAATTTGTACCGCACACAAGTTTTATCATCTATTTAAAATTCTGAAAGCTTAATATTTACGATTAAAATTTTATTTTAGAAAAAGGCTCTGGTAATCTACTGAAAATATTTGTTTGATCTATACCAATCTGCCGTAAACCTTGAGAAGTGAAACAAAGAAAACGTTAGTTAATTTTAAATTATAAATAAAATGAAATTATAATACAGAATCAAGACTCCTAGTTATTATAGTAAACGCTTTTCAAATAAAGGATAGTAATTTGTCGAATTAATATTTTTAAAATAAACATAACGGCTCCGTCGTTAATAAAAAATCAAATAGTCGTTGTTTAGCAAATTTTTCTATCTGGACTGACATATATCATGACCCGTCTAATAGAAGTATACTAATTTTATATGATTGTACCTAGAAGTCATCACGTTTTTACACCATTATATCCCTACTATCTTTGTCTATTTAGAACTAGTAGATCACTATTAGCTAGGTGCTGATCTCTATAATAAAAGGGGTATCGTATTCCATATTAAATCAACCAAAAAAGTCGATTCTCAACCCGACCCCCTTCGATTTTTTAAAAAATTCTAGTAAAAATATAAAATTTTAATTCTCAACTCAGCTTACTTCATGAGATATGGCCATCTTTAGAAAGGCGGAAATTCCTAAATACGCTATATTTAATTTTAAATATCTCAAAAAGTAATTAAGCTAAAGACATGATTTTAATTTTATTAAATAGCTCCTTATTATGATATAAAATTTATTTTATTGAAAAAAGTATATTACCAAAAACCGGAAATGGGTATAAAATAAAAATGGCTCTTTTTTTCTTTTAAATTTTTTACAGATAGACATTATACTTCTTAATATTTGTACAAAATCCTAGATTGGGACGAGTACTGGGCCAAAAATTATTACACTTTAAATATAAGTGATATGGCTTAAATCTTATATTATACTAAATGTATAGTAATTTACAAAACAAATAAAAAGAAAATTCATTTGGGATCGGGTTGGATATATTTTTTTATAAATCTTTCTGGCCGTGTTATAAAAATTAGGCCCTATGCAGATCACTAGTAAACATTGTGTCATATTTAGCACATTAGCTATTTTATTTTAGAAGGAAAATTATTGTAAAAATATTTATAACTTTATTTAGCTAATTAATGGGAAATTAATATTCTAATAAACATATTAGCATTTGGCCATTAAAAATCTATTTTCAAAATTGATTTCCATTCTTAAATATTCTACGTTGCTAACAAATATATAATTAATTCTCGTGATATTAGTTCTCGCATAATTATATAAGTCAATAGGAGATATTATATGATTTTCATGAGGGCGTTGCAGGCTTGCTCTAGCCGCCATCCTCTTAGTAATTCCCCCTAAACTATCACAAGGGTTTTGCCATGTGCAGTTGCAAAAAAATGCCATTCTGCCTTGATCCCAAAATAATTATAATGGTTGTAGAGGTTTATAAAGTTTTTTTTGTTTTTATACTGGGTAACAGCTCCATCAGAAAATAAAATTATTGAAATCTTATCAAATTTTTCAAGAATAAAATTAATTTTATTTGAAATAAATGAAAAGAACAATTGTGTTTGAGACAATCTGATATAATCACATAACTTAAACGTTTGATGATATCGCCTTCGCCGTAATAAATCATTAAAGGATGAAGTGTTGCCTGAATATTAGTCAACCTTGAGCGTGATCTTGAACTACAAAAGCGTAGTTCTCTGCAAAATCAGATATTATTAGATATTCCCCATCCTTCAAATTCGATTTTAATGACTTAAAAAATGAAAATTGTTCCGAAGAAATAAATGCATGAGGAATTAAAATATTTAATTTTTCAATCAAATACTCAACAAATGCGTTGGCGGACTTTGTTAAAGTTTCGAGTGTAGTACGGTCAGCTGCCAATTATTGTTTAATTAAATGTTATATAATCTATGGCATTATTATCAAACAAAAGTGTAGTCTTTCTTTAAGTTCCAAAGTGCCGGGACACATTTGGCATTTCCTTAAGTTACAGCAAGGTTGGGGTGGATTGCATAGACTTCGCGCAATGTAATGTTATAATCTTTTAAGGGAGGAAATGGAAAGTTATGCTGGTTTGCAGTTAACTTATCTAATTTACCACCAATTATAATTAACTTAAAATTAATAGAAGGTAATGTGATAGGGATCGTAGAAGTAAAAGGTAAGATGCGATTTGTTGAATATTTTTTTAATTTTTTCCAGCAAGAACTACAAATTTTTTGATTAATAGAATTCACTTGTATCATCCATTGTAAACACCTCTAAGATCGTAACATATTGATTGATATTTTATTCGAAATTTGTTGCAGCATTTGACAGGAATTGTAGACATTTAAAATATAATTTTTTTAAAATTAATAAATCTAATTTCTTAGAAAAATGGCTATGTAAAATTAATCAATAAAAATGACGGCTGTTGCCGTTGGAATATAATTATTTTAATTAATTATAAGTAGATTAAAATAATCTTTAAAATGAAAATATATATCTGACGATCACAATAAGAATTAAATTTCTGGCAATGAAAAATAAACTTCATCATTCATTCACAGAGTTGCCAGGTCAAATCTCGAATTTAAGAAGAAATTTGGGATGAATATAATCTTTAGGTTGGGGTGAAGAGATTATTGAGCTTACTTTTTATTATCATAGTTGTTACTTTTTACAAAATCTTATTATTTATTCCTTATAATGCTTCCAAATTAAGGCGGTTTGCGTTATATTTAAAATAATACAATACAATTTGGTAAATGTTGTTTTGAGTTTTATAACATTTAAAAAATGCAAAATAATAAGATTTTTTAGGATTTTAGTATTAATGCTATTATTCAAATATGCCCACTTTAAAAAAAAATATTTACTCTATATTTGGTATAATATAGGATTTAAGCCATACTACTTATATTTAAAGTGTAATAACTATTGACCCAATACTCGTCTCAATCTAGGATTTTGTACAAATATATAGAAGTATAATGTCTATCTGTAAAAAAAATTTTATTGAAAAAAAAGAGCAATTTTTATTTTATAGCCATTTCCGGTTTTTGGTAATAGACTTTTTTTAATAAAATTAAAATCATGTCTTTAGCTTAATTAATTTTTGAGATATTTAAAATTAAATATAGTGTATTTTGGAATGTCCGCGTTTCTAAAGATGACCATATCTCATGAAGTAAGCTGAGTTGAGAATTAAATTTTATATTTTTACTAGTTAGTGTATATACTACCATCATACAAATTTTAAAAAAAATCGAAGGGGGTCGGGTTGAATCTTCAGTTGATTTGATATGGAATACAACATAAGCAACATAAGATAGAATGTTTGGAAATCCTTAAGATTTGAGGCGAGTTTAGGATCCATTTTTCTAATTGGTATACGATTACCGGTAAAAAAACTAGTCTTATATATTTATTTTAAACTTTATAAGTAATGTATCGGATCTCAAAATTTAGACCTACAAAAGGTCATAGGTAGAACTTTACACGGTTTAAGATCGTATTAGGTATTTAAAATCGAAAAACCTATATAATTGAAGTCAGCTTTTATACAGCTTCTTGCCACAACTTTAAGTTAATAGCAATACAAACTTTATTTGTGTCATTTTTTAAAAATATTTATTTTTAGGACTACGACATTCAACACTTAAAATTAGGCTTTAGAAAAATTTACTATTCCTAATTATACCAATCGAATAAAAATATTATATTTTATAATTTATTTTCTTTTGAAAAGGCTAAAAGAGAGTATTTAATTTATGACATGCCTGTTGAGGCGAATTGCCTTAAAAAATATCCGCAAAAATCAGGTCGGATATGATTTTTATAATGTGTTTCAAAGATCGCCTGGGGGCATTTATATAATAAAATATGCACTATGAGATAGAAAAATATTCATGATTGCCAATGTATTTTCTTTTCGGACACAAATTTGGATTAGAGGTCAGCGAGGGTTGCCATCGAAATTTTAGAAAATTTTTTTGGCTCTGTTTTTATTATAATTTTATAAACAAGTTGCCCGACCAGTTATAATTTTTTATTTAAGTAAAAGACACAAATTTGCTTAATTATTATTGGAAGTTGTTCGCGTTCTCTCAACATCTAAGCGATGTCCCAACTCATCTTATTTTTGAAAATTAAAATTGAATTTCACGACGCTGGTCAAGACTATCTTAACCCAATGATATCCTGGTTCTCTAAACTACCTGGAATAGAATGAGGTTTTGTAAGTTTTAGATTTTTTAAAAAAAACTTTTGGGTAGTGATCTGGGTCATCTTTTTTTTTAAAATTCAAAATATCTGTTTTAAATAGTGATCTTTTAGATTTAAAAAAAAATAGGAATATGTATACATTCATCTAGATTTTAAAGATTTTATCACCTGACATCAAATTATATAATTTTTTTAATCAAAAAATGGTGTTTATGCTGCTCTGAAAAGAATTAAGAACCTAAATTAAATTGGGTTATAGGACGCAGCCTCAATATTTTTTCATTACATATAAAACTCGAGCCAAGTTTAAACAGTAAACATCGACGAAAACTAAGCACAATTACTTCTGACAATGGTGCAAATTTTGTCAAAGCTATAAAGTTCTTACAGCCTGAAATTGATTATGATATAAGGAGTGAATCAGCAGATGATGAAAATATGGATATGAAGTATTTATATATATAATCACCGTAATCAAGAAATGAGTATAACATTAATGTTAATTTTTGGTATCAACTTTCCTATCATCTTAATGTTAATTTTATTTTTGGTATCAACTTTCCTATCATCTTAATGTTAAATAAATCGAAGTAGACTATATACTTCTAATGTTAAATTATTTTTTTTAAAAAAAGAAAACTTTTTGAAAATTGATAGACAAACGTTCTTTTCAGTCACCCACCTTCTATATAATTTTGTAATACAATTCTTCTTATATATGAAACTATATTAATAAATATATCAATATTTATCTTTTTTTGGAAGCTCCAGAATTGGGAAAACAATTTCAAAATTATTATCGGTTGGCCAGGTTTGAGAAAAATTTTTAAAATTATATGGGTTGGGCTGGGCTTAGAAAATATTTTTATAATATTATTTAATTGGAAGCTGAAAAAAATTTTAAAATTATTATCGGTTGGCCAGGAAGAAAATTTTTTAAAATTATAATGGGCCGGGCTGGGCTTGAAAAATATTTTTATAAATTATATTTACGCTTGTGGAAAATTTTTCAAATTATTATCAGCTTGGGTGTTTGGAATTTTTTTTATTATTAACTATGGATCAGACATTGACCTAAAACAAATAAACCAAGGCCCATAAAATCTGATTTTGATTGTACTATTAAATTCATTATGATTTTTTAAAATATTTTATTCCAGTTCTCAACTACCAAAATTATTATGATCTTTGATTGGGTTGGAGAAATTTTTTCAAAATTATTATGGCCTTGGACCTTGCTTGGGAATTTTTTCAATATTAAATAATAGTTATAGATGATCAGTAAACAAATAATATTTATATGGGTATCAAGTAAAAACTTTAAATATATTTTGACTCAAAATATAGCATTTAAACTTAGTTTTAATGGATTGGACCTGACCTGAAGGTGGGAGGGAATTAAAAATTGGATATTATTTTCAAATAACAGGTAACAGTTATCATAAGAGTAAGGAGAAAATTCTCATTCCTCGTCATTTTTGACGGACTCAGCAATGCTGACTAACAGGAGCTCTGGTACTCTTAGTTATATATTTTTCATTTTGCCCTTCAAGAAAGGCGGGTCATCATACTTTTCTCCCTTATTCGATGATAGATGAATCAGAAATTAAGAATATCTTATGAGGTGTGATTCACAAATTTACCTCTTTTTCGCCTAAATTTTAATATATTATAAAATATATTTAGTATCATATAAACAAACTAATTACCCCTCAACCCGGTCATTCTTGACGGGTTATTAACTAGTATAAATATAATATCGATGACATACTGAATACTTTTTATCAACTATTTTTTCCTATCCGATTTAGTGTACGTTGTGCAGCTCATACACTTCAGCTTGCACTTCAAGATGCAATAAAATTATCACCCATGGATACTCTTGCAAAAACTAGGAAATTTAAAATTAAGACAACACACTTATCAAAAGTTACTGAAAAATATGAAAACCCCTAAACCTGTGTTAGATTGCCACCGATGGTATTCAACCCATTATATGTTAAAGGCTGATTTTACTCAAACTAATATCAAATATTTCTTTTCAGAGCATCTGATTATTTATTGACGAAGATTGGGAAAAAATAATAACGATTGTTGAAACTTTAAAACCACTAAAAATCACAACCAAACTTCCAATTAACACTGACAGATTTTTATTCAGAATGGTTTAGATGCTGCATTGAACTAGAAAAAAATTCATCATTCAGAGAAGAAAGGTTTATCAAGAATGAATTTTTTTAGCTTGCCATATACCTGAACCCAAGATACAAGGTTAATTAAAAGTTGAGTAAATAAATTATTTTGGATTTATATAATTGTTATTTTATGGAATTGCCATTTAATTAAATATAAACAGTATAAATCCTTAAATATTACAAGTATTACCTAGTAATGGTGATAAGATTTGTGCGAAAAGGCATCTTGTCAATTTAAAGTAGGATTAAAAGCATAACAGCCGATTTTATCAGATATTAGCTCCGATGAAGTTATTGAACAAGATGATCTAGAGAAATTGATAAAACTTAAAGAAATACAGGAGAAAATTTAAAAGGGGCCAACGATTAACTATAATTACAGGATTTATCGATTTTAAAAGATTAAATAAGAAGGAAAATATTTTGCATTTTTGGGAGTCTGTTAAGTTGGAGCACCCTGATTTATATATTATCCAAAATTTTATTTGCTGTTCCTGCAACCAAGTTAATTTATCATATTTTCACATATATATATAAATTAGCGTTAAAAAGATATTTTTTACATTTGAAATTCATTCTTTCACCACAAAGATCGGGGATGAGTGAACAACTCTTGAAAGATATTATGCGAATATGTCTAAATAAAATTTTTAAAATAGATACATGACTATGCTTTGTATTTTTAAATATATTTTGCCTATAAATAAAATCGAAAATTTATTTTTTATACCAAATTTATGTCTAGTTTTTTAATTATGATTTAAATATCATTAACTCAAAAATTCTTAAACCAGAGCTGAACCCGGAACTAAACCCGGGTTCAAAAATATTTTGCTGAACCGACCTTGGGCAAAAATTTTGCCGGGCATCCCTGTATTTAAGGTTGAGTCCAAAACCTGTTAATGAGACGTAATGATAGTTTCAAAAAATTTCACAAATTTGTTTTAGACATATTTATATTTTCTATTTAAAAAGGTTTTTTTCGAATTAAATTTTTTTGATGTTTTGTACACAAAGAGAAAAATGAGAGATGGGGAAGGTTCAAATCAATTAAGTAGTAAAATATGCTAGGATCTAAAAATTTGTCGGCCTGATTGATCCATTTAGATGGGTTGGGCCACTTTCGATCAAAAATCACTAATCCAACCCAATGAAGATTTACCAATGCTACCAATATGAAATTTTATCAAAAAAAAATTATTTTCTGATTTCATCTAAAATTCCTCTTACCTATGTTTTAAAGATTCTATGAAAATTACTGTACAGAATAAATAAATACCAAGTGAGAAAAAAGATTTCAATTTTATTAATTAAAAACTCCTTTAAATTTTTATAAAGATAAGCGTTTTATAACAACAAATATATAATAGAGGAGTTCCAACACATGATGATTTTTAAGGTAAAAAATAAATATCGTTTAGAGATTAACAATGTTTAATTTTTCCCGTTTTGAAAAAAAAACGTCCTCTTTAGAAATGGCCTTAAAGGGTATAAATTTATTTAATTAATTTAAATGCATACTAAGTTATTTGATTTTTTTTTTTAAACAGACTAGGACTAATATTCTATGGAAATAAATACTTTGTTTTAAAAAACATGGGCAATTAAGGATTCACAAAGCCAAATTAGAAAAAAGGAATATAAGAATGGTAAAATGGATATGCAGAGTGTCTCTGAGAAAGAGGAAAACAAATGATGAACTGAGAAAGGATTGGGATAGAAGCAAAAGGTGATGTCGTGAGAAGAAATAGGCTTAGAGAGTTGTTGAATAGATACTATTTATTAAAAGTAAAGGGAACAAGCCAGGGGGACAAGCTGGGTGAAAGTGCTAGACAATGACATGAAAACGCTAAGTTTGATCCAGGGCATTGTTCCGAGCCGCGGAAAATAAAGGGGATTAGAAGGGGCATACCAGAGTTAAACCTAGGAAGAATTTCATATTCTTTTTATGTCCATAGCAATTTATTATTTATATTACAAAGTATATAAAAAAAATTATACCCCTATACAAAAAAACGAATATTATATAATCATAACAAAAATATAGGATTTTAAAATTAATTGAGGATCCTCCGGTTGACATATAAAATTATATTGCAAGATATTTAATAAATATGATATTTATAAAAAAAAATCATAATATCAAATTAAAAAACTTCATGTACATTTTTTTTCGTTTGTCCGCTAATTTTACAATCTAATTTTCTCAATTTTTAACTTGTTTTTGATGAGACCTTTCTTATTTTTCAAGTTCTAAAAATAAAATAAATTGAATAAAAAGAAGAGATATTTAGATGAAAAAAAATTAAAGGTTATTTTATATTTTTAATACCTAAAAATAAATATTACCTTTTTGCTGGTGTATTTTGTGTATCTCATTTTGAGTTTAGGATTTTTAATTTTCTTCCGGTTGGAAGGTTCCTTCACTTTAAATATCCTAACTAACCAATGTTGCGTGGTGTAGGCTTCTTCTAAGTGTTCTAAATCGAAATTCTTATTTCCAATTTCAACATCTCTTGTCCTATCGTACCCGAATGGCATTCTTTGATCAAACTTTTTTTAAATTAAAAAAAGCCCAAGTTATTGAATATTAGTATTAATATCCTCATATAATTATTATAAACTCATTAATATTATAATAATAGTCAGTCTAAAAAAAAGAAATATTTTATAGTAAAAAGCGGTATTTTATTTTTAATTTTTTCCGCGAAATACACTAAACTAATATTCACTTAATTTAAATGATGATATATCTTTTTAGAAATTAAATTAAATCTAACGAGAATTGAGAGCAAATAAGATTATTGTCATTCAAACGGGATAAATTTTTATATGTTTATTATTAAAAATAATTTAAATAATTATTTTAAAATAAAATGTATATAATATAACATTCCATTTACTTTCAGCTTTCCAAAATCGTAGTATGATAATTTATACATAAGACAATTCAAAAGCGTTGGTGATCCCTCATTATCAACCCTAAATTCTCCGTTCGATGTGAAATAATCTTGTTCCTTAAAAAAATATGATTAATAATATATAAGCCTTCTACTGCGTGATAACAATTTAATACAATAATAATTAAATTTACAAGAGTGGCCAAATAAATCACGAATTTTGTTATTTGATATAACATCATAAAAAAAACAATTTTAGATCAGTATTAAAATCAGAGTACTTAAAAAATTTCTAGATTGATCAAAAATTATCAAACTATCCCGAAATGTTCACTAATCAATGTTTATTTAAAATTATAAGGCAAATAAAACCCCGATTTTATAATACACGGTTCATTTGCTCAATGAAAGGTTAAAAATAATATTACCATTTCCCTCTAATTATTTCCCATGAACAATCTCCTTAATAATTCAATATCGTATAAAAATATTATTTTAAATTTTTTATTTGGAGTTTATATAAAAAAAAAATAAGATCACAGAAAAAATGTATATTACTCTAATATCGTTTGGATGCTCTCCTTCGGCTATTCGTACCATCCATAAAAACTTGTTAATATCGTCACCCGAGAATCCTATCACACCCCCGAAAATGACTAAAACGTAATCAACCCCAAGGTTACGCATTATCGTGTATGCGGCGCTTTCGTTAGAGGACATGGCTTTGCCAACCTAACATTAAAGTGTAAAAATGTCAAGTGGGTAAATGGGGTTTCATTTCGTTTTATCATTTTTTTTCTCGGACTCTCCAATTATTGATCTTTTCTCATTTTATTTCACCTATTCAATTTTTTTAAAAACCTATTATATAAAGTTTCACATTACGTACCAATGCTATATGACTATTGTTCCAAGTATTATTGTCGACGAAAGTCGTTTTATTGCCCATACCAGCTATCTGGTATCCGTAATCCCACCAAGACATTACAGTAGCATCATCCCTAGTGTTTTGTCGAAGCCAGTAATAGGCTTCCCTAAAATCGTCTATAATGTATCGATTACTTTTGTTTTTATAAAAAGGTTATAAAATAATTATTATTTATATCCATATTATATATACTTAAAAATGCAACGTTTGGGATAGGAAGGTAAGTCAGGATATTAAGTAGTTAATAATTATTTTAATCAGGATAATATAAAAATAAAATATATATTATAACTATGTACCCCTCGTTATCATATGAGGATAAAACTACACTAGGACTAGAGTAAGCATTTGAGGTAACCCAAGTGCAATGGACTGCGAACATCAAGAGCAACAAAATACACACCAAAACGGTCAAACCTTCGTAAATTGAATTCATTTCAAAATCAAAGTAAATTTGTCAAATTAAAAAGGAGTATCGTATTCATATGTGTTATATAATTAAAGATCCATAATTTTAGAAATCGATGCTCGCTTGGATTTATATTATATTATATAAAGTTCAAACTCCATTTTTAATCCAAATATCGAAATCATATTGACCAACCTTTCCTTATCGAAAAAAACAATGCAAAACTTAATTTTGAATATTTTTTTATCTAATAACTCCTTGATCAAAATAATAGATTTGGGGAATTCTAAAATAATATCAAAAATGATTTCCATTTTAAGTTTTAGAATGAATCAAAAACGCTTGTTATTTAAATAGTAATGAAATCTAACAAAAGAACATATTAATTAAGCAATTCCTTTTTTTTTAAACTACCTTTCACATTAGATCCCACACCATTATCAAGATTAGCGTTAGTGGTTGAAGTAGGAGATAGATATTTAGGCACTTTTCCAGCCTTTATTAAATAAAATAAATTTTAAAATATTAAATTAATATGTTTTATTTAAACAATGCCAATTAAACCACAAATACACAATATTTTATAAGAAACCAACCAGTACAAAAAAAAGATTTCGGCTTGCGAATTTTTCTAAAAATATTGAGTTAGCCGTTTTTAAAAATAACACGAAATAAGAAATAGGACCTAACCTTATCGTAAAGGCTGCGTTTGGTTGTTTCTTCCTTGCCCTTGTCAATCTCTCCGGAAGAATTTTCGCTACTCACGTTACTGCCCGATCTTTTAACGTGTTTGGAACTTGGTTGCTTGGATGACACGTGATTAGTACTCTTATCGCTCTGTTCTATTGCATCATCATCATTTTTCAGGTAGGAATTGAAGAGGGTGGAAAAGGAGATGCTGGCCAAGACACATATTACAGGTGTAAGAGTCAGCATTAGGCGAACCATGACGCCAGCGAAATAGACGGCACTCATCGCGAATAGGATAACTGGGTTTAAGGTAATTGTAAGAATATGTTATATAATATATTTTTTTATATGGCTACTTTATGAAATATATCAAGAGAAATAATATATTGTTTAAATTTTTGGCTAATTGGCTTGACAATGTATAAGAATTGTGTAATGTAATGTCCTATAGGTCTCTTTAATACAGAATTCTTCCCTTCCAAAAAAAATATAAATATTCCCTAGAGTTCTGTAACTGGCGGAGAAGACAAAATAGACGGGTAGAAAGAAAAAGCATGAAGACTTTGCTCAAAGTTGGGAAAAAGGTTTGGCCATCTATTATAAAAATTTAGAGGCTTAGGTAATATGTATTTTAGCCAAAATCTTGATAACAGTTTTTAAAAATCAACTAATTCGTCAGGTAAACCACATATTTTAAATAAAATTAACTTTTAGAGATTTTTTTAAAACACTTAATAATTCGTGAAAGTTTTTTTTTAATTGAAAATATTAATTTTATGGCATTTATTTTATTCAAGTATAGATGGCAAATAAATCAATTTAAATATCGGATTGGTATCGGTTATAGAATCGGGTTTGTAGTAAGAAATATCGAATCAGAGGGAAAAAATTTATGGATCAGCACAGCCCTAAAACTAAGGTAAATAAGAGTATAAAAGGCTAACTAAAAACGCGCGTATCGTCTAGTTTCTTGAATACGAACCAAAGGCCGGCCGGGAAGGCGCAAAGCAAGACGTGGTTATCAAAGAAGAAACTGCACCAAGTAGTGGGTTGATGCTCGGAGACGGATACAATTATGGGAATATGAATCTTGGCATAACCCGTGTCCCATAAAGAGTAAAATCGACCGCTCCAGGGGGCGATGTAACCTTGGATATTTAAATTGTATAAAAAATTTTATTAGTGCACATTAAACCTGAGAGATGGATATGAATTTATTTTTCTAAACAGCAAAATTAGCTAAATAAATAAAATGGCGTATTTTTCTTCTTTTAAATGATTAATAATGTTTATATATTTTTTTTAATTAAGAAAGAATCTAAAAAGTTTTCTATCACGTCACTTTCAATGCCTGGCTTATAGACAAGATTTTGGAATGTGGGATAATGGGCCCGGCTATAAAAATTTCTAACATAAATATGTGGCATAGATTTTATTAATCAATTTCTTTATTAAAATCAGTATCTATGCAGCATTTCAAGTATTGGATATCTGCACAGCTCAACCATAAGCTAGGCGGCTGAAAAATTTATGGGTTGGTCATCTCATGCACACAATTACACAGAATTTCGGGTATCTAATTTAACCTTAAAAAAATTCAATTTAATTTTTCTTCGGCAGATAACCTTTACAAAACCTTAAGATATCAATTTAGGCTGAGCATTGTTAAGTTTATTTATTGAATTTTTTTAAAAAAATATTTTATATCACAATTACTTTTATAAATTTATTTTATGGTATAAAACTAATGCTTTAATATAAATTTATCCATTTACTTTTTATAGTTTAATTTTGTACCCAGCCTAGCCCATAAGATCTACTCCAGCTTGTGAGCTACACTGATCTCCAATACATAAGATACGGTTTGACTACTTCTATTAGTTGATAATAGAAAAAAATTATTCAATAGAACCTATGTCATATTTTTATGCTATCGATCTGCATAGCCCAGTTCACTTATCCCGCATACAAGGACATTAAAAATTGTAAGTAACTTTTTAGATCATTTTATTATTTTAAAAATATAATATAGGAATATTAGTAATCATATTGCCCATTTTTTTAAATCTAGTTTTCACATTACGATATCTTAAAGGCATATCTCCATTTTTTGTATTCATATTAGGCAAATGTTGCCTTAATTATTTTTATCTAAATTTATTATTTACAAGCGGGTAGTTTTTCATTAAACAAAAACAGACAAAAAAGGACCATATTTCAAGCTTCAACCCCTGGACAAATTTATAACAGCTAGGAGAGTAAAATTTTTGTCTAAATAATAGGTTACTCTTTCTATATAAAATCTAGATAGTCCAGCATAGAAAACGAATCAAAATCCGGCGCGCTGGAAGTTGAATTGCACTGGGTAAAACAGGAGAAATATAGTTAACTCGAGTCTATTTATTAAAACTATGATTTTGTAAAACACCTTATAAATATAACTAATTTTAATTAAGGAGAGCGTATAGCTTTTCTACTGTAATGAATTCATTAGTATATTCATTTATTCTTTCTATCAAAGTAAGTTATGCTTTATAATAAAATTTATTATACAATTGTATAATTTTTTAATAAATTATTAATTTTATAAAACCAGACACTCGTTAAAAAACCATTTTTTATGCTTCAATCTACAAAAGTATAAAAGCTAGGTGGTTAAAATTGTTGACCAATTATATATAACTTGAACATTAGTTTGTATAAAAAATCGTGGGGGACTGGCCAAATAGTGATTGATTTGTGGAATGACCCCGTCCTTATTAAAATACACATTCAAATCCAGTGCGCCAGAAATTAGATTGGAATGAGTGAAACCGGTTTTGGGAAATAGACAACTCGGGTTCTTTTATTAAAACTATGATTTTAGTAAAACACCTCTAACAATAACTAATTTATTTTAAAGAGAAAGTATAATTCTCGGTAAAGAATTTATAGTTAAAGTTATTAAATATTCCTTCTTTTTTATACCAAAGTAAGTTAGGAGAACAACGTTCGCAAATACGGAAGCGGCTCCTATAAGTATCGACGTAGTGAATAGTTTCCGGAAAAGATTTTTGGGAATAAAATTTCGAAGATATTTAACGAAATTGTAGATGTTGAGTAAAAAGAAAACGCCTAAAATTAATATTCATTTTATAAAAAAAATCATAGAGGTATAATTTAAGAAGGTCACTTAAAAATAGGTTTGGTCTATAAATTAGAAGAAAAAAAATAAAATTGTTAATTATCTTAAAGCTATATATTTATAAAATAATTCTAAACGTTAAAATAATCATAAGAATTTAACTAAATCCATATAACCTTTTTTCAGCCTCAAATTTTTTTTAATCTCCTCAAATAAAATCGAAGTTCTAATTTATCTAAATAAAGAATTATCAAAAGATCAATTTACAATTTAACATCTTTATTTATAAAATTAAATTATAAGGCTGTGTCCAAAATATTAAAAAATTAAATTCACTATAACTTTCGAAATCTTAATGAAAATAAATCTTATATAAAATTTTACAAATTCCAAAATTTTAACATATAATTTCATTAAAATTTTAAAATTTGTTAAAGTTTTAAAACTTTTCGAATTTTTAAAAAAAATTTTGGACATAGGCTAATAAATTTTTTTCTAATGAAATTGAATTGGCTTAATATTTTCTTAATTAAGGACAAATCTAGGAACCAGAAAAAGAACTTTAATTTAAAATTTATAGGGCAGGAGCCATTTTAAAAAATTGCCAGGAACTGTTCAGAAGCAGCTCAATATATATATCATTCAAAATGTTGTGTGATTTCTATTTAGAGGATTTATTTTCACTGTTTTACAGTTTGAAAAAAGTAACTAGAACAGAAACCAGAACCAAATTTTACACATTTTTAGGAACCTGAATCCTTTTTAATCCCCAAAACCTTTTTATAACATTGTTCTTATGACGTTTGCTCTGACTCATTTAAACTGGTCAGTCTATTTAGAATTCCTATAAAACTTTCTCTATATTGATATCTAACTAGTGCTGTCAAAAGGCTCGATTTTTAAAAACAGCAAGCTCAATATTTTAGCAAAAAAATAATATGCAAGCCTGAAGATTTTGTTCTTAGATGGTAGAAAGGTTTGGACATCTATAAACAAAATCCCAAGGCTTGCGTAATATTAAATTAGAGTAGGAAAATAATTCCCTGGAAAAAAATCCCCAATAATAATTCTTAGAAAATAATTCTCCAGAATTTATTTTCTCAACATTTTTAAAAATATTATTTGAGAATTTTTATTCCTACATTTATATAGAATTTTTTCTCCTATTTTATTAATTTTGTAATTTTTAATATCTTAAAATACATGGATTTTTTTTCTGGGGAATTATTTTACTACATTCTAAACTAGACCTAACCATCACTAATAATCAAAGATTTTATGATTTTTACTAAATCACCATTTATTTTGGTCTAGTCTTGAGTAGGTTGTCATTTTCAGTAATTATACTTTATATTTTATAAATTTTGTATTTGTAATTAATTTATTTTTAAATGTAGTTAAGCCCCACTGAGCATGCATGAGCAATCTGCCAGCAGTAAAATAAAACCCAATAAATTATCCAAATAAATTTGAAAATTACCAGCAGCAGCCATATGTTCACTTGTCCTTAAAGGCTGAAATCCTACAAATGGAATTTGCATTGACAATATCAAACCCATAATGTAAAATGTTGTATACGCTTTGATTTGATTATAAATTATATAAATAAAGATCAAAAATATAACAAATTTTTGTAAAAGATTAGTTAATCATATATATTTCTAAAACTCACATATGTATAATTTTGGACTATATCTTCCCATAATCAAAAGTACAAAAATATGTAGGGGTATAAGATTGATTATATAAACATAACCACCCCATGCTGACACCTATGTTAAATAATATAAAGTTATTAATTTATTTGTGAATTTGATTACCATATAAAAATAGGACAAAGCTGTTAGAACAGACCAAAAAACAGAGCCAGATTTCACAGATTTGATCTAAAAGAATAACCCATTTTTAATATTTAGAATTATTATTGTACCCACAAGTAATAAGTAAACATTAGAGCAAATATTGCTATTCCTTCATTATCATAACTTCCAGCAACAGATCTACTAATATAACCAGGAACTAATAGCAATTTTAAAAATTGGATAATTGATTTAGTAAACCTATTGCTATAAAACATGCTGCTAACAAGCCAGCACCAGAGTCCCATAATTCTTTTGTAAGTAAATAAGTAGCTATTGCTGTGAACCCACTTAAGATGGTATAAAAATAATATAAATATATTTTAAAATATATATATATACCTAAAAACAGGGGCTAAGAATACACATATCTCTTGAATATGTACTGGTATGTGAAGTGAGTGTAATATGGAATGGATAGCTCCAGATGTTATCATCAACCCAGGATATACCTTGAAATATATTTTGTAAAAACTATTGTTTCATCAAATTTTTTACAGTGCCTCCAACAATTCGGCCCAATGGATACCAAGCTCTTTCATCAAACCAATTTAAAAAATTATAAAATCCATTTTCCACCATATAATGTGTAGCACGATAATTAAACCTTTATTTAATGAATTAAAATTTAATATATAATTATTTACCATGGATCAAATTCATGAATAATACTTTCAAAACGAATGACCGCAAAAAGCCTAGCGCTAAAGCCTACAACACAGGCAAGCAATAAAACAATAAATGTTATTAGACTAAGCCATGCTTGAGGTGTAGATATAGCTGTTTTTATGCTAAAACTTGACATATTCGTATTTTCATTTATGAATGAATGTTATCAGAGTTTGCCACGCTAGATTTATAATTTATTAATACAATCCTCGAATCCCTTATAAAATCAAATTTAATAATTTTTCAGGTACGCAGAATGAATCTGAAAGTCTTTCGCTTAGCAAATGACACAAGGATCTTATATCTTGAATCTTTTTTATATTTTTGAAGATTATATACTTTTTAATAAAGGATATATAATTTAAATTCTTTTTTAAGGACCTATTCAACTTAATAAGAATAGAGCATACATAAAACAAATTATTAAAAATGAAAAAAAAATGGATTATAAAGGTTTTGAAATAAATAAACATTTAATCTCTGCCAATTTGGTAATTAATTCAAATGCAAAACTGAATAATCATTCTACCAAAGCAGAACCCAAAATAGAATTATATATTTTTTAATTTTTTTTCATAATTTAAAAATTATATAACCTTTACTTAAAATATAATTTCTTATCCTTTAAATAATTAACTATACATTAATCATTTATTAACATTTTAGAAAATTTTCAAAATAAATATTTCCTCATAATAAATGGATGGAATAAAAAGGATTCCGCGTTTACATGTGAAGGGGGGGGGGGGTTAGGGTAGGTACAGATTGCTTCCAATTTTTTTAAGGTGCGTAGGGGGTAGGCATTTAAAGGGGTTAGGTTAGATAGAGTATTGGAGTGTTATCTAATAAATGACAAATTATATTATTGTAAAAATTATTTTAAACGTATTTATAGATCTATTATAATAATACAATGATATTGCTAAACAAACACTATATTTTGCATCTTGCCCACAATCATAATCATTATTTTTCAAATAAAACTTATTTCTGTATAATTTTCTGCTATTTTTTGAAATGTAATTTAAAAGGGTTAAACATGCTATCAGCAAACTCATATTCATACAATTAATTAGAATAATACATTACATTCATAAATAAAGGGGATTTTAATAATTCATGTTTTAAATAATAACCCTTTTTTTACATACACTTTTTTATTAGTTAGTAATAGAGTACTGATAATTTTAAAATAAGAGTACCTATTATTAAAAACGGATAATTATGTGAGAATATCACCACTAAAGGTATTTAATTTTTTTTAGAATGACAATATTTTCACTGGATGCAATCCCCCCCCTCCCTCAAAAATCTATGATCCCATTATTAATTACAACTTTTTAATTTTAATACTCCTTTCAGATATTTTAAGAATAATTTAAATTATTTTATCTCTACTACCAACTATCAAAATATTGCTAATAAAAATGTGTTATTTTTAGATCATGAATTCAATTAAAAACCCCCTCATTTAAAATGTGCATTATTATAGCATTATGAGTTTGCTGAGAATGTCTAACCCTTTTAAATTACATTTAAAAGAAAAGCAAAATGTTTTATTTGGAAAAAAATGTCTATGATTGTTTGCATTATATATTTGTCAGCAATATTATCATTATTGGTCTATAATATTAATATTAATTTTTGCAGTAATATATTTTATCCTATTTCATCTCAAAATTTAATAGATAACCCCCCCCCCCCCAAAAAAAAAAAGAAGAAGTTTTTTTATCCTACTCACATTAGAGTAGACTCCCCCCCCCTCTTAAGGAAAATTGGATGCAAATTGTTCCTACCCCCCCCCCCTTTACTCATGTGTAGACACTGTCTGTAGGCATAGATATTTGAGGAGTGTTTGCTACCAGTGAATATCCTTCATTTAAAAGCATATTTTCAAATAATTATTTTCCTCACTACAGGTTATCGATCTATTCTTAAAAAAAAGTAAGGGAGTTGTTAAAAAGGCCCTCTTATACTTTTTATCTAAAAATACTAAATGATATGCGGAGGATCTAGACGTTGTAAGTGTTACAGATTTTCTGCTAAAAACATCTTATAAATCTAATCGCTAAATTAACTTAGGGAAATTGGAATCTATAACTTTTTCTATCGATTTCATTTTTGCAAAAATTCATTTTAAAAAATATAAACTAGTATTGTTAAGTAACGTCCTACGTTACCTTTTTTTAGAAAAATAAGTATTTCGTTACTTGTTTCAAAAGATAACGAGTAACGCGTTTTTTTTTCCTTTTTAGGAATGATTAAAGCAAAAACTTACTTTTTACTTTAAATAAATTTTCTAAATTTTCTAAATATTCAAAAAATATTTTTTATATATTATATATTATATTTTTTAAAATTCTATATAAACAATTTAAGCTGGAATTTATAAAGAATCAATCAGTATATTTAATTTATATTCTCTAACATCATAATTTATTTTATAAAGAATATATGTCAATAGTATTTATTTCTACAGATGAAGGTGATTTAACTCTGCGCTGGTCCCAGTATGAAACATTTGGTAAAATAAATAAATAAAATTAAGTGCACCGCCTACTTTTATAAGTGTATTTTGTGCCCTAATTCAAATTTTTCAAGATCGATTTCCAGCAGTTCAAATATAAAATACCAAGTTAACGATATGAATTTAGATTGAATTCTGAAAGAGATTTTAAAACAATGATGAGGAGCTGAACAAAGATTCTTGTGAGCTGATCAAATAAAATATTTTGAAAATAAAATAATTCTATAAATAATTTTAATAAATTCCCCCGAATAAATTTTTTATTAAATATAATACAATCCTCCAAATTCTCTACTCTAGATGATCATGTGTTTAGCTGTGCCAAACCTGTTTTGAGCACTGCGCTCTTTTCTATCTGATCAATTTGAAAATCAATTGTTGTTAAAAATAAATAAAAATAATAATTACAAAAAAAAGTACCTATTTTATAATATATTATTTTTTGTATAATTTTATTTGTATTATCTAGGTGGAAAAAAATATAATTTATATATTAGTAATTTTTTAAAGTAACTAGTAACTCATTTCTTTTTTTTTTGAATAGCGAGTACTGCGCTCCTTTTTTCACAAGGTAACGACTAACGATAGCGCGTTCTTTTTTTAAACTTAACAAGTAACGCGTTTCTTCTTTGAAGCAACTTTTAAAGCACTAGATTAAACTGATAAATTGTTAATTTTTAAGCTAACTCGATTACAAATTTAATATTTAAATAAATATATGATATTTTTAAAATTTAATTTATAATAAAATTTTTTAGAAAATGTGGCGTAAACTGTCAATATTTTTTTTAATCGTCATATATAAACATTAAAGGTCAATCAACGATTGTAAAGTTGTGATTGAACTTAATATAAATACTTTATTATTAATTATTAATATAGATATGCAATTTTAAAAAGATAATATAGTCATTCGTTTGTTTTTTTTAACTTTTAAATAACTTTTATAATTGAAATTAAATTAATTTATAAAATATTTGAATTTTTATTGTGTTTTATTAAATTAAATAAATTAATAAAATATATTCAAATTTATTTTTGTGTTTTGTAATAAATATAAAATATTTGTTATTTTTTGATAATTAAAATCAGGGATCTAAACAGTAACGAATATCGGTTAGGTTTAGGTTCAGATAAAAATAACTCATGGTTCCGGTTTGATTATTAAAAAATAATAACAATTCGGTTTTAATCTTTAAAACCCGGTTCAGATCTTATCGCATATAGAGTTATGTAAAAAACGAATATCTAAAAAATAATTTTGAACTGCAATTAAAATATTTTAAAGATTTATTCTGTCAAATTATATCTATTAGGAGATAAATTTCAGAGCTGAGAACACTTCCGAACTGTCACTGTCAAATAGTAATATAGAAAAATATCTAAAGATAAGTAGTGATACTTTTTTTAATAATAACTCATCATTAATCTACCTTAAAAGTATATAAATATCAAAAGATTCAAACCGGTTCACATGAATATTTAGAGATTCGGGTAGGGTTCAGATGAAAAAAATTTTACGGTTCAGGTTCGGTAATTAATACCGGTTTTACGGTTCAGCTCAATTTCAGTTTGGATCCCTTCTTAAAATACAAATAATAAATACTTTGTATTTTATACAGGTATTCGCGTTAGTGCCTAAACCCGGATTATCTGCTATAAATATTATAATTTCTATTTCACTTTCGTAAATAAAACTGCGAAATTATTTTATTTCTATTTCAAAATAAATTATACTATTTTTAAAAATGATATAAAATACAAAATTTTATTAAAGAGGGGGGGGGGGGAGATTAAACTTAAGAACTTAATTTTTTCTAATTCGGGTCATAAATTTAATATTTAAATAATAAATTTACTCCCCAGGGCTGGGTTACAGGTGCTAATCACAGTTTATTAGATGAATGAACCTGAACTCTTATTAGTAAACCACTTCATAAATTAGAGTGTCGAAAAAGAACGTTCAATAATTACCTGGCTACATTGAGTTGCTAATACGATTTGGGCCAATTCATACATGATAGGATTTTATTTTATTGGATTCCCAGTAAATTTTTTATAGTTGATCGAATATCATCTTCTTTGTAAATTTTGCTTTATTTTTCTATATTACCCTTGGAACTTAGAAACATTTCAATTCATCATATTCTTATCCTTCTTCTGAAGGGCTAGCTTAGGATTGATTATTAATTACTATAAAAAAAAGTTATAAAAGAAAATAAAAAGAATTTAATATATATGCACTTGTTAGATGGATTAAAAGTTTTTATTTTTTTAATTTAAAAATAAAAAAAAATTTTAATATATTTTTAGGAAAGTTCCTAGAGAAGGTTCCAGAATACACGTTCCGCTTCCGTTCCATGCAACTGATAATAACAATGTAAATATTGAAATTAATATTGGGAAAATACAGAATTATGCACGAAGTAACAAATAAGTTAAAATAGTTGCGATATGGATATTTAAAGGGCAAAATTCTCTCATTTAAAGTATTTTCTACTTCAATTTAATTTTAAACTATTAAACAAAGTGTATTAATATTAAACAATGAAAATATTATAGTCCTTCCATTTAATATCAGTAAGTTTAAAAAAAAAATTCTAGATACACATCCAGCAAACTGTTTAACTGTGTATAATCAAA